ATAAATGACATTGTGAGTGAACTGAATCAGTATGATGCGGACAGTTTGACTAACATAGTTATTATGTGTGCTGACAGCTCTAAAATAAGAGCAAGAGATATGTATAGAAATATAGAGGTGCTACTTAACTATCAGTCTAGATGCAATTGTAAAATAATAATAAGCGCTTTCCCAAATGCAGAAAATTTAACTAGGGAAGAAAACAAGCGCATCTTTTGTTTGAATTGAATAATTCATAACTTACTAAATAGTCATAGTGACATTTATCGTATCTTGCAAAAAAGAAAAAGACTCAGGTAGCTATTTTGTTAGCTTTTAATATACAAAACTCAGTTATACATGGTATCATACAACTGTCTATACAACTCCAGTCCAGTCTATACAACTGGATTGTGTTAGTGTTCAATTATTTGGTTCGATTATTTGATTATTTGATCCCTTATGGGTCCCGGGACTTCTATGTAGCTAGAAATAACAAAATGAAATCGTAAGCGATAGCGTTTTCCATAGCAATCCCTTTAGGCGAAGGGCCCCCAGGCTGCAGACGGGACTCGAACCCCCCACCCTTCGCTATCTGAGCAAATGCACTGACCAATTTTGCTACCGCGGCCCTGACGGCCATGTCGAATTCTTACTAGCATTTCTTAAGCTGCAAGGAAGCGCCATCTCTTCGCATTGTACGTAACCCATAATGTCAAATGAATACTTTTACAAGTATTTAACAGTCCCATCTACTGCCTGGTCCTCGTGGATTTTTTTCTAGTAATATTTTCTTTAGATTTAAACTGATTTAAACATCGAGCAGTTACCTGTTTAAAAAATAAAAACTATAAATCTATTAAAATTGTTAAAAGCATATTAACAGTTATCGCTCCATATTATCTTGCAGATACACACATCAAAAGTGTCTAGGGATCAAGCATTTTTATGCGGATTTCTTGAGATTGAGATGTGGCTTTGTAATAAATTTATGATTTTATAAATTTATATGGATCCCTTTTGGTGCATTTCATAATTTGAATCAGGAACTGTGAATCAAATTCGAGTAAAAGATGAAAATCAGCTGTCAATATTTTCCCTATAAAAACATACAACGCATTGAAGACATTATTAGTGCTACTGTTTCCCTACTACTGATTAAAACCAACGTTATTATGGAGCGGCGACGTCATTTAAGCAGGGAAGAAATGCTCAGAGCCGTGGGAATGATAGAAGCTGGTTCCCGGCAACATACTGTGGCTTTAGCTCTGAATACAAGTCAGAGTGTTATCAGTCGACTTTGGACACGATACCGAAGCACTGGTACCGTGGCTGAGCGCCATGGAGGACGGTATCGCTGCACCACACGGAGACAAGACCGATACATTCAAATCTTAACTCGAAGAGCTCCAACAATAACCGCCATGATGTTAGCCGTGAGGTTTCATCACTCTTCAGGGAACTTAATTAGCGACCAAACAGTCAGAAACCGCTTGCATGAAGTGAACCTTCATTCCCGAAGACCGCTACGGGTACCACCTATAGCAATGCACAATCGTAGGATTCGATATCAATGGGCTCTTGAACACAGAAATTGGGCAGAAGAACAATGGCGTTTCGTGTGCTTTTCTGATGAGTCTCGTTTTGGTATGAGACCGGATACAAGACGTATACGACACTGGAGAACCCCTGGACGCCAACAGCGATTAAAATCCTGCCAGGAAGTCCATCCTTATAGTGGTGGAACCATCATGGTATGGGCGGGTATTTGGATCGGCGGAAGAACTGAGTTGATTTGGATCAGAGGCAACCTCAACGCTCAAAATGCTGAGACGATTGTATCAGACGTCATCGTTCCTCTACAAGTGCAAATCGGTCCCTTATTTCAGTTAATGCATGATAATGCACGACCGCACACCGCAAGAGTTGTAAGACAGACTCTCGCCGCAGCTAACATCAATGTCCTGCCCTGGCCTGCTCAGTCGCCAGACTTGAACCCGATTGAGCATGCATGGGATATGCTACAGAGAAGAGCTCTGCCGAATATGGAGGGTATCCAGTCGCAAGAAGACCTTTTTTTGTTGTTGCAACGAACATGGGCGGCCATTCCACAGCGTGATTTGGATGAACTCATTTTGAGTATGCCAAACCGATGTTCTTGTGTTGTTAGTGTTCGCGGTAGAAATACGGATTATTAATTGTTTAAGTTACCCAATAAAATTTTAGAGAAAACTGTTATTTCAGTCTTTTTTTCGAACTTTTGTGTTAGTGGTTCAAATGTCAAAAATCCCTTTATTAGGAAAATGGCAAATTTCTTTATTAATGCAAAGGTGACTTGGTTTATCGTTACTGTGACAAACGAAAACACTTTATTTGATGAATCCTTAAAGAAAATTTTAATTAATATCAATCAGGAGAAAAGTTATTGCAAAAATATATGTTGATCCCTAGACACTTTTGATGTGTGTATATTCAATAATTGTGTTGATTAGGGTGATTTTCCAGACCTTATGAAATAACGTAAAGTTATCCCTCTTTTCAAAAACGGAAATAAAGATGATCTCGGTAATTACAGACCGAACAATATTACCGATATTTAGAAAAAGTTTCGAAAAATTTTTTTTAGATCAAATATTATCGCATTTCGGTTTGAACAAACTGTTACATAATAATCAATTTGGTTTTACTAGAGGTAGATCAACAACGGATGCGGGTGTTGAACTTGTTAGACATACAATGGAAACCTAGGAGAAGTCGCAGATTCACAGAATGTTCTTGGAGTATTCTGTGACTTATACCAGGTGTTCGACTGCGTTGAGCACCAAAAAATTAAAACACTATGGAATCAAAGACGTAGCCCAAAACTAGCTACTATCATATCTTAGTTCCAGAGTTCAAACTGTAGAGGTTAATGGTGTTAAGTCATCTGGATCTTATGTAAAAATGGGCGTTCCCCAGGGATCGATTTTAGGTCTCTTTTTATTTTTATTGTACATAAATGATTTGTCATTTTTGTCGAAAAAATATGTTATATAGTATTATTTGCTGATGATACCTCTTTATTATTTAGGATTGACAGATACAAGAATAACTTTGACGATGTAAATAATGGTCTCTTACAAGTATTGCACTGGTTTAATGTAAATAACTTAAAATTAAATATTTACTTAAAAGCAAATAAAACCAAATGTATTAAATTTACTTTACCTATTCTTAGAAAGGAAACCGTTAGAATTAAATAATGAAAACAAGATTGGACTTAGTTAAATCAACAATATTTTTAGGTATAACCATAGACTCAAAATTGAAATGGTATCCTCATATTTCTCTGCTAGCTGGTAAACTTAGTTCAGCAGCCTATGCCATACATAAAATAAGACAACTTACTAATTTAGCTACTGCCAGAAGTGTATACTTTATTTACTTTCATAGTATTGTATCCTATGGTTTTATTTTCTGGAGAACAGCAGCTGATATTAAAACTGTATTTTATCTTGCAAAAAAGAACTTTAAGGGCTATTTAGCAACAAAGTTCTAGAACATCTCTTAAATTTAAGAAAAAAATTAAAGAAATCGTATTTTGACTGTTGCTTTACAATTCATTTATAATTGTATACTTTTTGTTCGAAGCAATATTAACTATTATCTCAAACTCAGTGACATACATTCTTTTAATACAAGAAATAAAAATAAACCCATGATACCAGCTAACAGGTTACAGAAGGTTCATAGATCATTTATGTTTCAAGGTGTACATTTCCATAAAAAGATTCCTAACGATATTCTCGATTTGCCTTTTCATAAATTTAAAATACCTACACATTATGAATTGCTTACTAAAGAAAGGATATTATACCGTAAAACAATATTTGAATGATAAAACGACCTGGTTGTAATTTTACCTGTAGATAATGTTTCGAAAGTTATATTAAAACAAAAGTCCTTAAAAAGAGTTTTGAATAGAATCATTTATTCCCTTTCTTATACAATGTTGTATTTGTCCAATTTGTTTTGAAGATTGTTTCTTACTATTTTGGGACTTTTCTTTACACTTACTGTTAGTAAATACGTTGCCTATTGTTACCTATTTGATATTATGTGATAGAAGTTGACCTTAACACATGTTTGCAAGTTTGATTTCAGCTTTCAATTTGACGACACTCATTGTATGATATAAAACAGGGAGAAAAAACAGCACTTGCTGTTTTTTTTTATAAATATTTTCCAACACTTACACCAATTAGCCTAGCCCCAAAGTAAGCACTATAAGGCTTGTGTGTTACGGGATGATAGGGTAACGGTCTATCCGTTACTCTCCTGCATAAACTGTACATATTTAAGTATATTTATATAGAAATACATATGAAACATCCATTACTGGAGTAACAATGTTCGTATTCATCACACAAACATCTGCCCCCACCGGGATTTCAACCTAAAACCTCTCGAGTCAGCGTCACCATCAAACCCGGCGTACAAACCACTCGGCCACGAAGGTCGTCAAGTCAAGTTTATGCCGGTTCTTCTCAGTACAAGGTCTCCCGCAGTAGTTTTACGAGCCGATGGCGTAGTTTTCGACTTTCACATGTGATGGAAAAAGCCTAAACTGAATAATTGATTTTTGAATTTGAATGCTAATAACTTAACCAAAACTTGGTTCTTATTGCGTCATTGCTCTCGGGTGTAAGCGCGATTGTTTGATGTCGCGTCGTTTATTTCACTATTATCTATTAGGAGGAAGTGTAGTGGGCTCGAGCCGGCGACATCGGTTCCCGTACAAACGGTCTGATATTTGATAACCCTTCTTACCTATTTCCGTGTTCTGTGGGTGAACCCTATAACGTAGGAACTGTTCGTTACTGCAACCACACAAGTTATGATTATGTTTAGGTAGGTACTTATTTCAAATAAATTAGTAGCCGATTATGAACCACGAAATCAGTTGATTACTTGGAATGCTCAAAAGCTTAACTTAAATATATAATTAAAAATAGTAATAATAATTAAAAAAAAATGTTTACTTTGCAAATAATACGTGATAGTAACATACTTTTTGTCTGGTAAGCAGATGGGTAAAGGACGAACTCATAAGATTTTTCATTTGTACAGTAGTAAAACCTAGTGAATGATAAATTAAAACAGACAAAAATAAAATGAATACTTACTAACTTTATTAACAAAATAAATAAAAAAAAAATACATTTTAAAAAATAACATTTCGAATCTGACTGTAAAGTTTATAATAAGTATGTCTAAAATAACTACGTTTATTAAAATTTTCTATAAATCTGGATTCCAATGTACCAATAATTACGCTTTTAATAAAATTATTAATATTATGAAATGCTTCTTTTTATTTCAAATAATATAGGTCTAGTATCAATATCTATACACGGGCTTTTTATTACCTTTATTCGGATAACAAATACTTATAATATAATTATACTAACAATTGAATTTAAATAAAGTAAATGAACCAAAAATATGTACAACAATAAGTGACAGTCACATATTTGTATATGTTTAAACTAAGGTTATTCTTTGTTTTTTTTCAAAAGAGAAGTGTAGGTTTAGTTAATGTTGGTTAAACTTTCGAGGAAATTGGGGACACTTTATTTCTGAAATTAATTTGTGCGTTAATTTAGTTTTATTGTTAAAATCGGTTAAAGGAGATTGCTCAGCTTCCATACATGATTGCCTTGCATGAAGACCAATAATCATGAAAAATTGTTTCCTAGATTCGAAATTATATATAAATTACTGTAGAAACGAATATTATTGACGGACACCCCTGAGAACTTCTATAAACCATATACACTGAATGATTTTGAGGTTATGTATGTAAATAGGTACATAGGTATTAAAATAATAAAAAACAAATAAGTTATATAGTAAACTAGGGAAATCAAGCCAAGTACCGAAATAACGTATTAGATTCAGGTATATAAAGCTGGTAGATTAACAGATAGTTGCCTGTTTATAAAGTTAATGCACAAGAGTAACTTTTAAATCAGGTATCATCTATGCATTTCCGGTTATAATAAGGTACTCTGTGCCAGAAACTGAGTAATGATTGTGAATGAGCCACAGATTAGAGAGAATTTTTAAACTCTCTTTAATTTAGTTAGTTAGCATTTTTTTTCTTCTTTCTGTGGCGTTCTCATTTTAGATTTTTAGTGTATAACACCTTATAATGTGTTATGGAGGTGTTTGGCGAAAAATGTATGGCAATAGACTTCATGATGTCGCCAACCATCTATAATAAGTGTCTTTGTACATTTGCATGTAGTGAAAATGATAATATAGTTGTGGATATTAAAATAAATAAATATATTCGATCAGTCTTTGGCTGAATGTTACTACACCCATAGCCATTAAAAATGATTCGTATATTTTCCAAACCGGTAAAATTAAAAGTCCTTATTAAAATGAATATATTATACAAAGGTGTCCGTTAAAATCTAATGACTGTAAAATAAAGTATAAATTACGCCGAGAATTACCGTATATGTCAATATTTATTGTACATTTGGGGCAATTTGAGCAATCTCCTTTCTTTTGGTTTAATATTTAAAACCCGGTTCGATTGGACGGTATAGTGTCAATTATCAGATGACCAAAGGACGCAGTGATATTTGCAACCCTCTTTCTGCTTTATGAAAAGCTGTAGATCTTATAAGATTTTTAAAGAGTTTCGTAAGTAAAATTAGAAATGCTTACTATTTTCTTTAATATAGTTGTTAAGGTTGCAGAAGAATTAAGTTCTATATCCATGTTTAATATTAGCTCAAAGACAATAATGTATATGTCATCTTTCATAATGTCAATCTAGAAAAAAGAGAGTAAAACTTAAACAGTTCTGTGACACAAAGATTTAAATCGTGTGAAAGTCATAAAATTCAGTTTCTTTGTTTTAAATCTATCTTTATATTGGAATTAAACGTTGTCTTTTTATTGGAATTAAACATGGTGCCGAAATACGGGGAAAAAAGAAATGTGTCGAGCTAGTATGTTTCAGTAAATAGTAAATGAGGGATATCGGATTCTAATCTCAAACCGTGAGTAAAAATACTTCTCGAACAACAGCGCTATCGAACAAGACTTGTAAGATTTACACTTAGAATAATTCAATACGAATTTGAACTTCGAAATATTCCGTTGGTTTCGGTCATACAAAACAATTGAAAGCAATGGAGTTGTCAACTGTAATTCTTAACCAAGACGAACATTTGAAAAGACTTCAGAAAGTTTTTACCAAACTATTGTAAGTCACCAAAAGCACGATTAACATCATCGTATCAAAAAACATGGTCCGAAGCATTGGCAGTATTGGTCAATAAATTTAACGACTACCACTCTCAAATGAGCAACGCGAAAGATTAAAGAGAGCTTTAACCTTCACGAGAAGCGTGTAGTTATCATTTTGGAAAAGGTGGTCTAAAGAATTTCTTGTAACTGAAAACCAACGTTATAAATGGCACACTAAGATCGACGAACCAAATATTAATGGTATAATTGTAATCAGGGAGGATAATGTTCCACCTGCTAAATGGATATTAGGAAAGATTGTAGGTAAACACTATGTGCGTGTGGACTGAGTGATCTTTTCAAAAAACTCATCCAATCACAAGCAAATTATAAGAGGATTTAGGAAATAATTGTGAAAACTTAATGGTAAAGTATGAATTTTGTGAAACGTAAACAAAAAAAGTTAGAACTAATTAACTGGATCACTCAATCCGGACACTTGAAGAATAAGCCATAACGCGTATCCAAGAAAATACTACCTATGTGTTTATTATTTGTATTTCAAATAATTGCCGCACTGTTCGTAAATGGGATGCTCTGCCCACTCACGTGTTCCCTCCCTCTTACAACCTGGGATCCTTTAAAAGAGGTGTAAAGATGGTGTGGCAGGTAGAACTGCTGTATCTGCTATCTTCGCGTCTGGACTTTACCTTCACTTAACATCAGATGGGATGGAGTCATTTGTCGGTCCTATCTATATAAATAAAAAAACTATAAACAAACTTCATTGCAATAGATGCACTGCACAACGCCGCTAGCTTCGCAAATTGCAATGAATATACACAATGTTAGCATTGAATAGGGTAGTCGAAAAAAAATCCGACAAAATAAAAGAGTACAAGTACCCTACTCAACGTTTTCCTTAAGGATTGTAAAAAATAAGTTATCTTTTAAAATATAACACTTACTGGGACGATTGGTTCGTCAAATTTTAGTACAACATTTTTCACAATTTCTGATGTAACTACCTTCTACCTATAAGTTTGGGTTTATTAAATATAGTTCAAGATAAGGATCACTCAGTTGGGACGATCGAGGAAAAACAAGATTTTCATTTTCTCTTAAACCAGTAAGATTTCAATTCCGATCTTTGTTTCACAAATTTTCCCAGAAGCATAATTTATAACAAACATGATAATGTTTCATACTTTTTCAGTATAGGTAAGTTAGTGTTTTAAAAGATCACTCAAATGAACATAGTGCATTCTGAGTGATCCATATAAACCGTTCTAAATCTTAAACGTGGCTTTGAAATGAATCGAAAATTTGTTTAGCAGCTTACACAAATTCTTCACAATTATTTCAAATACAAATTATAAACACATAGGAAGTATTTTCTTGGATACGCGTTATGGCTTATTCTTCAAGTGTCCGGATTGAGTGATCCAGTTAATTAGTTCTAACTTTCTTTGGTTAGGTTTCACAATTTTTTTACCTTACCATTAAGTTTTCACAATTATTTCCTAAATCCTCTTATAATTTGGTTGTGGTTGGATGAGTTTTTTTGAAAAGATCACTCAGTCCACACGCACATTAAACACCCAGGCCGTGATAATTTAACTAGAGCTGTAACAGTCAAATGTAAGAGTGGACTTTTAAAACGTCCAACCGTCCAACTAGCATTTCTTCAAAATCTTAGATATGATGTCATGGTGGGCGGTTTGTTTTTCCTTTTTGAAGTTCATATGTGTTCGGGAGAAAATATCTTTTTATTTATTTTTGTTTTGTGTTTAGTTATTATCTCGTTATCTATCTAAGTTATTGTTTTCGAGGAAATACTTATTTTGTTGTTTGTTAGCTTAATTACTTAGTGAGAAATATTTATTTGTAGTATTTTTATGAAGGACTAGTTCTTGGTGGGCGGGTATGTTAAGGTTACAGAAAAATTAAGTTCTATATCTATAAATAATATTAGCTCAAAGATAATCATGTATAGGTCATCTTTCATAATGTCAATCTAGAAAAAAGAGATTAGAAAATAAACAAGTTGTGTGAAAATCATAAAATTCAGTTTCTTTCTTTTAATTCTTTTTTTTTATTGAAATTAAACAATAGTCATTCACACATTTGGAACTTTTAATTTTGTAATTTAGGTTAGCAAAATTCGATAACCAGGTGTTACCTAAAAGTATTGAGTAGGGTTCAATTAAATGCGACATGAATTTGTCGTTTATTAATATGTGTGTTTTCATCAATGTTATCATTTTTTGATTATAAATAAATTACAGTATAATCATGTTTTTTTTGTATTCCTTAGCAAAAGTATGGACTAATATTACATGAAACTCTGAATATGCAAAATCTAATAAAGGTACATTCAGTAAACTCTAGATTAAAAAACAAAAGCAAAGATGAAGTGTCCCCAGTTTCCTATAAAGTGATTTAAAGCAGAAATTTCAATTAAAAGTGAATATTAAATCACTATAGCCTATGCATTATCGCTATTAAGTATGCAACTTAAAATAAAAAGACATAACTTGACATAAGAACATGCAAAACAATATATTACAGGATGTGATGGAGGTATAAATAATTACCATTTAATTACACTAAGTGATGGTGAAAAATCAAAGAGTTTTATATTTGTCACTTTGAAGTGATTGTGGTAGTTTTCCAATTACAGCACTAGAGCGCATTATGCGGCATAATGCTTAACGTTGAATGTTTCAACTACTGCAACGCTTCGCACAATGGTATAGGGTGATGCGTGCAATCGTACCAACTCAGTGACAGAAAATTAACAAGTGTTTTTTCTTTAAATTGCATTGATCGAAATGTTTTATATATTTAATATCGTTAGTAATATTGAAAATAGTATAGTTTAAAAAAATTTAAAGCTTTTGTTTCATTGTAGTTTTTTTTCGTGAATTCAAACTGTTAAAAAAATAAATTTATGTATGGATGAAGGTACAAACATTGACTTTTGCTGGTGCATTTGAAAACTAATTCACGTTCCAATTAAGCATCAGCATAATTCGGCATTGTGCGCCACTGAGTCGCATTATGCTCTGTAATTGGAACACTACCAGTGTTCTAAAATGTCATATTTTGAAAATAAAAAAGAACAACAATATTTGTTAATTAACTTGGCTAATAGAGATATTTCTCGAAAAATGAAAGAGCTCTTAATCTTTATACACCGCAGCTTTGGCACAAAGACAACTTAATCCTATTAGAGCTATGATTGCTAGCGCCACTATAAACGTTTCCAATGTTATTACGAAGATTATTCTCCTACGAATACATATACAGGGTGTAAAAAACCTATGACAACGACTAGAACTACGCATTCTGTACACTCAAACAAGTTATATTACAAAATATTATACGTGGGAAACATTTGTATTTTTAAGTAAAAAAAATAAATTTTTTTCCAGTACGCAATTTAAAGCGTGGCGCGCTACTGTGGCGCGACTTTCCCAGGTATGGTCCAGAAGAAAAAAATGATCGTCATGATGTGAAACATACGTGGCCTTCGGCTCCGTTAAAGGTTTTTTAACACCCTGTATGCTAAGAGCGAGATTTTCATCCAGATCTTTCTGCACTTTGTATCATACAATATTATGAACAACACAGGTGATACACAACACACCCTTTTTTGAAAATTTGGTCACCATTTGGCGCCACTGTGGCAAAAGGTCTTTTGTATGAAGTTTTTGGCGCGAATTAATCGAATGAGCATTTAAATTGATCCACAGACAATGACAACACGCGATTTGACGGATAAGTATTCCGTTTGCCTCAGTGCTGTCACCTGGCACCGGTTATTCCAGAAAACCGTCATTCAATAAGTAAAATAACGCACTCTGTCTACTGCCGGAGCGAATAATTGAAATTCGTGTCGCGTCCTCGAACTAGACAAATTTTTCATAAAAGAGATATCGTAGTGCACCGCTTCTACTCCAGATGGCGTTGATTTAATGTATGAAAACACGATCATATAATATTATACATAACTAAAATAATATGATCGTGGTCTCATACATAATAATTATAAAATTGACTTGCGGTTAGTGATAAATCAATTATAAACATAACTTATGTAAGTCAACAGAAGAACTAAGCAAAATAGCGTTTAAATAGTACTCAAACAATTCAGATCAACACAGGCTCAACCTATCAACTTTAGCCGTTCTGTAATCTTTGAATGTCTAATTTACAAACAAGCTAGGATTTATGCAAGGCACTTGCAAGTATCTCTTTATAGATGAACTTGGAACCTACGCAGTGTTTTGTTTCTGTTCATAGACAAAAGTAATTTAATTTATAAACAAAAGACTGCGTGACGAGCCTAATATTACTTCTCGTTTATTAATAAGGAGGAAAGCTACTAAATTAATTTAACTAAATTAGTAACTTTCCTTTTAGCTCATTAAGGCCAATTGCATACTTGACTGGTATATAGCAAAGGTCTATATCACAAAAGATTGGCAACCAAGCATATGGCCCGCCTGGTGGTAAGCTACCGCCATAGCTTAAAGAAGCTTGCGAAACCAAAAATATCACTCGCGCAGTTACCTACCCTGACTCAATCCCCTATCGATGAGGTGTTGATCCATTTCCGAGTAAGTACTACTTACGCCAAATAAGACCTTAGGGCAAGCACTAACTTAGACAGATCCTGTAATCGTATCGTCATCGTTTAATTTTGTATGGGAGGAGCCACTTTGTTCTTACGTCCGGTAGAGGCGCTGCTTAATTTTCACAAAATCTTTGACATTGTCAATACGATACGATTACGGAAATCTCAAAGTTTGTCCTCTGAAATCGTAAAAAAGGCCTGGCTAGCCTATCACTAATGTATTTGTGCGTTTGATTGATAAAGGCTATCAAAATATATAACCAAAAACGGACTTTCTATAATAATTTAATTTTATTTTTCATATAAAAAGAGGTCCCGTGCACGGACATCACTATATAATGCTAATGCTACCGTAGAAAGAGGTCCATTTTCACCATGAATTATGCATATTTGATAGGTTGGGGAAATAATCTTTTCGCATTATAGTATAGTATGTATGAACTTGAAATAAAATCTTTTTGCCTATACCATTCGTATATGTTTGGTATTGGTATCATTAAAAAGTGAAAATTTTAAAGAAGATAATACCAAATTCAATTTTAAAAAATGTGCGTTTTTCCTAAAATTTTACTACACAAAAAGTTAAAAATGCAACGAAATCCGCGAAAATAATTGTAATGTTTATGGACCTAGTGCAGTGTCTGTGAGAGTAGCACAAATTTGGTTTAATCGTTCTCAATCTGGAAATTTTTATGTCAAAGATGCGCGGCATCATAGACTCTGGCGAAACCCGGGTTAATTCACAACAGGGGATGCTATGTGTATGATGTGATTGGAAGGGCATTATTCATAATGAGCTGTTACCGCCAGGCAGGACCATCGATTCTGACCTCTACTGCGGACAACTGATGAGATTAAACCAAAAAGTTGAGAGAAAGCGGCCAGAATTAATCAACAAAAGGGGTGTGGTTTTTCATCATGATAGCGCTAGATCTCGCACATCTTTAGCCACTCAGCCAAAAATAATAGAGTTTGACTTGGAGGTGTTAATAGTCCTGACCTTGCACCTACAGATTTACACCTGTTTCGGTATCTTCAGAATTCTATAGGCACAACAACCTGACACAGGTTCATCACGAGAAAACTACCAAAACCACCTGTAGCGGATTTTTGATCGGAACCCCAAAATTTCGAAAAGGTGACAAAAAGTTATCGGACATAATGGCACCCACATGGTGAATAAACTTTTTTCAAAGATGTTTTGAATTTTCATATAAAACGCGAAGAAACTTTATCCCCAACCTAATATTACACTTAAGTCTCACCGAATCACTCCTCAAATTATAGTCCACGAAAACTTTGAGGAGTTGTATTCTTACAAACGACGCCTTTTCGTTGCGGCTTCTTCGGATTCCTCTGTTCTGGTATCCTAGAATCAAACAGATGAAAAAACAACGTTAGTAACGAAAACCTTATAAAATACAAATGCTAATTCATGGGGGATTATCATTTAGTTAACTAGCTCTGTTGTTTGCCTTGAGTTTATACTAAATGGGAAAGGTACAAAGACTAAGTTTCATACAATAGGCTATTTGTTGGCTATTTGACAAGGTTTAGACAACGTTCATACGTTATTTATTAGTGTATAATGACTTCGTAGTAAAAAAAAAACAAATATGCCGCGGTAACGTTTCTCTAGCAAAAATGGCGCCGTACATCCGGTGACGTCACAGGGCCAGGGCTCTCATTAAAACGTCAACAAGTACAAACAAAGTCATGTCACATGACAGCATGTTTACAGGCAGGTGACGTCATGTAGGTTCCGCAAATCCTAGGCGTTTTTGGTCACGCGACAGTAGATCAAAAATTATGGGCTTACTTTTCTTTTAAATTTTTGTTTATGTTATCAACAACTTTTTTTGTTAGACTAGTGAAATCGCTCCCAATATTCATGTTAAATACGCATGCCAATAAATTTGTACTTTTTTTATACTATCAAAATAATTGCCTGTTTCAGCCAGCAGAGAAACGTTTGTATTGGCGGCGACAAACCGCACTGCTAGAAGCTTTGCCACTGCGTGATGGTAATTTTTACTATGTGTAAATTATTTGGATGGAAAATAAGATGTCTCACCTCAGTTCACGACCACCGCTGCTGCAGCCTGTCCCTCTCCTGCATGAGCAGCTCGGTCTCCTGTTTCAGTCGCTCGGTGGCCTGGCTCAGCCAATCACGATCCTGCTTCACTCCATCGCGTTCAGTCTTCAGTTTGGTCAGCGCAAACACCATGTCTGCAAACGACACTGAAGGCTAAGTTCATTCCCTATTATTACACGGGAAAAGAAAGTGCGGAGGTAAAGCTTAGTCACTTGTCCCACCTTCGACGATGAACGAGAAGCGTGTAGAGCTAAAAACTAAAAAGAGTTGACGATTACTGCGATGCGAAGGGCTATTACATAGTGGAGGCAGTTCTAAGCAAAAATGCACGCGCGCGCGATCTGTCAGTCAAAGGAGCTTTGCTGAGCAAGTATTACCTATGATAGCTCTGGTCGCTCAGCGACAAATTAGTGAAGCGAGTTCTCTCCGGCAGTATGAACAGTCAGCGTTCAACTATTATTATAATATATGTATATCTTTTGTTTACACGGAATGAATATCTATTGTACGTTTCAAGAGCGAGAAAAGAGCAGATAGTTAGTTGCTTCCTCGCCGGCGATGGGACAATTGCCTAAGTGGATCTTTTATATGTTGAATTTTATATGTGGAATATAACGATTTGAAATATAGCAAATAAGTTGACAGCAAGTATCGTTTTCGATAAAAACAAATAGAAATTACTTCGCGTACGCGCATGCCGATGAAGCTTTGACTTGTTCCTTCTTTTCTCATGTGCCATTATGCCTACATGTTTTAAATGTTTGTGGCTTTGTGAGTGGTAGTACCAGACAGATATAATTATTATGCAGTATATAAAAAAAAACAGGCTCCAAGAAAATACTTTTACAAAAAAATTAAAAATTTAAATGAGAGGACACTTTCTTTGATAGCAATAATTTTTTCTTGAGTAAGGAACATGCTGAACTATAGATATACTTCGCATTGTATTTTTTCAATTTATATAATGTTCGCAGTAGCGTTATCATTCGCTTGGCTTCGCACTAATGGCCATAGCAAAAGCGGTTATAAAGTAAACATAACTATGATTAGGCAGCAGACGGGACTCGAAGACGCACCCTCCGCTATCCGGGCGAATGCACTGCCTGGTAGGCGTGGAATATTTTCTAGTTATTTTTTCTTTAGATTTAAACATCAAGCAGTTAATCCTTAAAAAATAAAAATTAGAACTATAAATAAAACTAGTTTTAAAGGATTAATGCACGAAATTTATTTATTTATTGACGTTTTGCAGCCTTTTCAGGTCTGCATCGTCAGAATATAATAATCGTGCCCGTTAAAACTAGTTTTATTTAATGAGTGATGTGCGTGAAAACCTAAAAAACAAATATTATAACTATAACTTTGATTATTGTAAGTCGCGGCACGAAACTGTAGCGCTAACCGTTATTGCGCAGAAGTAAAAATTAAGAAGTCTTGGGGGGATACGAGGTGCGCGGGTGGGCGTGCATTGCGCCGATTGGCTCTCCAGCCGTACCTATGCGCAGCTATCCCCTCCGCGTTTTGTTCAGCGCTAGAGTAACGTGCCGCGACCTATACTTTCAGGTCCAAATAAAGACCTGAGAACAGAGGTTTAAGATCTTGCTAATAAAGTAAATTCCTAAAAAAGTGGACACGATTAAAAAATCCTTATTTAAGTAACAGTCTATAGTCTCTTCTAAAAAACAATAAGTATATGTCCTTAAATGATAAGATAACATTATTATCATTGTGAAAGTCTGTGTTTTTCATATTTTACTCGATCATGCAGAAGTAAAAACGTAGCGCGTTTGCGCTTTTTGAAGATATCAAATTCTTATACTGCATTATTCATACACTATAAAATGTTCCCTGGGGATGGTTTTTAATTTGAAAGTCTAGTCAAATAGTATGCTACTGTGAATGCGCCTACGAACTTCTCTTCAAGGTGAATCAACTGAACGGTTGATCACCTGGCTTAGTAAGGCACTGTCATATATAAGGAGACCAGATTCTATTTTTTAACAAGTCATAATAAAAAAGTTACATACTGCATAGCTATATTAAATATCTGAGCAGTATAGTAGTCTAAAGAAAATTTTGTTACAAAAAAAGAACTCGGTCCAGGCGTCGTTTTGCCTCGCATGCAAGTAGTGGGGCGAAACGATCAATTCATAAAAAGACCCCTCTTGGCAACGATATTTAATACCCTCTTGGGGTGAAACGACTGTAGACCCGTTTGGCTGAAGGTCGATTGGATTAGATTATTTTTATACTTATTTTTTCTTAAGGTTTATAAATGAAGCAGTATGAGTACACTGTTATAATATAATATCAATATATCTTGTTTGTACCCCACACTCTATCTCACTCTTACTCACGGTCGATTTCGAAATAGTGCGCCTCGTGCAGCAACAGATCCAAGTAGGGGAAGTCGGCCGGCAACAGCAACTTCTTGTTCCGCAAGAAGTTCAGGATGTGGCGGAACATGCCCCCGTCCCTGTCGATGAAGTAGTGCTGTTTCAGCGTGTCCAGCACTATGGGGATGGTGCCGTTGAACATCTTGCCCAGCCTCGAGTCGGGGTACCTGCGCATAGCACGTGGAACAAATGAAGCTCGCTGATGAGACAAACACAAACATTAAAAACGTTTAAATTTCTAAGCCCTTCATTAATAAACATAGAATAAACTTGGATTAAATTACAAATGGCATTTGAGTGATATGAAAAAAACACGGCGTAACTAGTCTAAGCTAGTTCCTCGTTTATTAATAAAGGGGTAAAGGTTTAAGCAGCTTTCTACATTTTAGTGTCAAGTACATGTCTTTACACTGTTTATAGAGTCCGTAAGAAATAGACATTCGTCAAGAGGTTTTAAAAAAACCTTCCAATATAGGACAAAATTTGTTTAGAAATTGATGATAAAATGTATTAAACCAAAACAATGATAAATTTTTCATTGCGAAATGGAAATTTAGTGCTTTAGATAGATATATAAATATTTATGTTTTTAAAAGTACAAGGAAAAAGACGGTCAAACTAATGGAAAGACATTATTTCTGTAGTCGAAACAAAAACATAGCTAAGAGATGCTCTGAGATACATAGTTAATTTTGTTATGTGAATTTAATATCTACATTATGACTTTATTATTTAATTTTGTATGCATGCGAGAGATAAATAAAATATACAAAACAAAAGCTCGCAACTTCAACCATGGCGCCATCTAGCAAAAAAGATCCAAATTTATTTCTGCTTAAGCCTTAAATAAAAATAATATATTATTGTTCCCAATCCTTCTGGACAGAACAGAAGCTCGGAGGTGTTAACCTGTACGAAAAGTTTGCAACTTTAACCATAGCGCCATCCCTGGAAACCGGTCCTAACTTATTCCTGCTTATGCCTTCACAGAATATTGTTCCCAACCTTTTGAACAGAACAAAACTCGCAAATTTATTTATAGCGCCATCTATCTGAAACATGGTCAAGCTTTTTCCTTCTTATGCCTTCATGCAATATTATTCCCAATCCTTCTGGACAGAACAAAAGCCTGGAACTTAACCTTTACCCAAATGCTCACAATTTTAATTATAGCGCCATCTAGAAAATCAGGTTCAAACTTATTCCTACTTTATGCCTTCATGAAATGCCAATCCTTCACTACCGAATAAAGCTGGAAACATACTATCGGACGCGGCTGATGGACGCGGCTGACAGCCGCTGCGTATAGGTATCTGGAGAATGAATATACACTGAACCCTTAGCACGAACCAATATCGAATTCGAAACGTTTGCGAGTCCAAAATGTCATTGTCAAATCTGAACTGATTTGTAGTTCTCGTTACATTATTGGTGGCGCTGCTGTTCAAGTTTCCATACAGACATTGACATTTCGCACTCGCAAACTATTCGAATTCTATAATTGTTCGTGCTAGGTGTACTGTACTAGCTATGTGGCGTAAGTCGCCGTCCTTGAGAGTTCGGGCATACAAAGTGTGGAATTCACCAGCCTTGGTTTTTTAATTTTTTATTTCATGGACCCAAACGCTTCTTTTTATTTTCATTCGAGGTGGACAACATAATGCTGCCGCTGCTAATTCCAGAAAATCGTCGTCACTTTCACTACTTGACATGTTTTTCGTCAATAATTATTTGTGTAATAAGCGCTCGGAGAGGTCCCAAGTGACTGTGCACACTGCATCGGTCGCGGCTGTTAGTCGCGGCTTACGGACGCATCCGACAGTATGTTTCCAGCTTTAGACTTCACTTATAAATGAGGATGTTTATGAAAATTCACGTTACCAGCTGGCACCATTGTTACGAGAGGAGTTTGTATGAAGTTTTTGGCGCGAACTATTCGAACGAGCATTTAAATTGATCCATAGACTATGACGACATTACGTCATTTAATGGAAGAGTTGACCTTTCGGCTCAATTCAATGCTGCCACCTGGCTCCCTTCATTCAATGTGGCTACAATTCCAACGTGTACAAAGAAATTTGGTGACTCATTTCTTTGTCGTACTATCCGTAAATGGAATTCTCTGCCCACTCACGTATTCCTTCCCTCTTACAACCTGGGATCCTTTAAAAGAGGCGTGGAGAAGCAACTTGCAGGCCGGCAGGGTGAGGATGGCTGGTGTGGCAGTTAGAACTGCTGTATCAGCTATCTTCGCGTCTGGACTTCACCTTCACTTAACATCAGGTGGGGTGGAGTCATTTGTCGGATCTATCTATAAAAAAAAAAATTCAAGGAAGCCGTCATAAATATTCTGTAAGCAAAATATTATAATTTCATAAACATACTCTTTCTTAGGATATGTTCTGCTTGGGCTATTTCATATTAAATCATTATTGATTGCCGAATTGAAGGTACTTATATTAAGATAAACCTTTGCATAGTACTCCATCCAAAGGTTTTTTAAAATTACGATTTAATACTGCCGCACTCATATCAAGGCAGAAACGGGTCATCAAAATAGCCTCAATACGAGCGGTTACATTCATCAACATCGCCTTCGATCGCCTCAGGTTATGATGGGGAATCGCTAGTGGTTTAATATGCCGAGGCCTCTGACGCCTGGTTTCCGAAGTGCAGTGTAAGATTTAAACGTACATTGTCATGTTTATTTTGTAACTGATTCGATTGTTTTTTTTTGTAAACTCAGATTTGTTTAGCTATTTATGGGATATACTATAATGTTCCCTGTACCCTTACGGTTGTTAGTGCTTTGACCATTTGACCGTCCATTAGAAAAAACGATATTAATATATTATTATGGGCTAATGTCAGGTTCTCATTTCACAATGAAAGCAAAAGAACGCACGACACGAAAGTTTTGCATTTTAATTCTATGATATTTTAACTAGCAAACCAGTGAACCAAATGTTCACCAAAACCTGATTTAAAAAAAAAGGTAACTTCATTTTCAGCTCATTATTGCGTCATCTATTCTGTTTTCTCTTAAAATGTTGCTTTATTGAAACGAAGTTCCTTACGGCAGGTTTGGAGGGGATAGGGATTTTGCTGCGCGACCGAACTGAAAAAAATGTAATAGTAAAACCGTAAGAAAAAATCCGTGGAAAAAAGTGCGTGGAATAAAACCGTTAAATGAGACGTGCGCAGGCGCGACGAAATTCCTTACGGCAATAGAGAGAGCGACCAGGGTGCATCACTGAAATATTGTGATATTACACCAACACTGAATATTGTGTGAAGTTATAGGGAGTGGTAGAGCGACGAGGGTGCATCACTGAAATATTGTTATATTACACAAACACTGAATATGTGTGAAGTTATAGGGGGTGGTAGAGTGACAAGGGTGCATCACTGAAATATTGTGATATTACACCAACGCTGAATATGTGTGAAGTTATAGGGAGTGGTAGAGCGACGAGGGTGCATCACTGAAATATTGTGATACTACACGAACAGTGAATATGTGTGAAGTTATAGGGGGTGGTAGAGCGACAAGGGTGCATCACTGAAATATTGTGATATTACACCAACACTGAATATGTGTGAAGTTATAGGGGGTGGTAGAGCGACGAGGGTGTATCACTGAAATATTGTTATATTACACCAACACTGAATATGTGTGAAGTTATAGGGGGTGGTAGAGCGACGAGGATGCATCACTGAAATATTGTGATATTATACCAACACTGGATATGTGTGAAGTTATAGGGAGTGGTAGAGCGACGAGGGTGCATCACTGAAATATTGTTATATTACACAAACACTGAATATGTGTGAAGTTATAGGGGGTGGTAGCGCGACAAGGGTGCATCACTGAAATATTGTGATATTACACCAACGCTGAATATGTGTGAAGTTATAGGGAGTGGTAGAGCGACGAGGGTGCATCACTGAAATATTGTGATTCTACACCAACAGTGAATATGTGTGAAGTTATAGGGGGTGGTAGAGCGACAAGGGTGCATCACTGAAATATTGTGATATTACACCAACACTGAATATGTGTGAAGTTATAGGGGGTGGTAGAGCGACGAGGGTGCATCACTGAAATATTGTTATATTACACAAACACTGAATATGTGTGAAGTTATAGGGGGTGGTAGAGCGACAAGGGTGCATCACTGAAATATTGTGATATTACACCAACACTGAATATGTGTGAAGTTATAGGGAGTGGTAGAGCGACGAGGGTGCATCACTGAAATATTGTGATACTACACCAACACTGAATATTTGTGAAGTAATATCAAACTATGGACCAGTTACACCTGTGAGACATGATTATGATTACAAGGTGAGTACTTATCAGGAGGTGGCAGAGCGACGGGGGTGCATCACTGGATTATTGTAACATTGTAGTTTATTCTAAACTGTGGGCCAGTCCTGCCTAGCATCCTTTACGAACGCTAGCGGGACATGATAATAAGGTGCGTATGTAGGGGGTGGCACAGCTACGAAGGTGCAGCACTGGAATATTGTGACATTACACGAAATCTGGATATTTGCGACGTTATACCGAGCTGTGGACCAGGAACGCCTGTCATCTGCTGTAAACTTAAGCTAGACATGATAACAAGGTCAGTACTTGACAGGGGGTGACAGAGCGACGGGGGTGCAACCCCACATTATTGTGGCATTATACCAACACTGGATTATTGTCGTATATTATACTAAACTGTGGTTAAGTCCAGGGGGGTGGCAGAGCGACGGGGCTGCATTACTGGATTATTGTGACATTGTAGTTTATTATAAACTGTGGGCCAGTCCTGCCTTGCAATCTTTACGAACACTAGCTGACCGAACTGAAAAAAATGTGATAGTAAACTGTAAGAAAAAATCCGTGGAAAAAAGTGAGTGGAATAAAACCGTTAAATGAGACGTGTGCAGGCGCGACGAAGTTCCTTACGGCAGGCTTGGAGGGGATAGGGATTTTGCTGTGCGACCGAACTGAAAAAAATGTGATAGTAAAACCGTAAGAAAAAATTCGTGGAAAAAAGTGCGTGGAATAAAACCGTTAAATGAGACGTGCGCAGGCGCGACAGTCGCATACACAAGCGAGTTTTCAATTTGTGTCGATTCTACATTAGCCGAAGGAACTTCGTTCCTACCTCACACACCTTTTTGGGATTTTCAAGAAAAAATGATGACACCACATCATTTTTTCTTGAAAATCCCTCTGGAACCTAACATTTTTTCAGGATAAAAGTAGCCTATGTGTGAATCTAGGGTGTCAGCTAACTCCATACTAAATTTTATTAAAATCGCTCCAGCCATTTAGACGTGAAGAAGTAACAAACTTACACACTCACAAACTTTCGCCTTTATAATATTAGTGTGATTACTAGCTGTGCCACGCGGTGTTACCCGTGATTTATTAGGGATATTTTCCCGCAGTAAAACGTAGCCTATGTGTTAATCCACGGTTTCAGCTCCATACCAAATTTTATTAAAACCGCTCCAACCGTTTAGACGCGAAAAAGTAACACATACACATTTTTATTTATAAGCCATTTCTTAATTAAATAAGGTTTGGTCTAGATCATCATCGTGCTTGATTAGTACTGTACCAAAGTCACCTGTTCGTGACTCCCGGCACAGTTTATAATTACCGTGATAACGGTGCCTATGTGTCTGAACAAGCATCTCTCGTCCGTACGACGATAACGCAACCTTTCCAAACGTCGGTAAAATTTTAATGGGATCCGAGGCGGACGAGCCTGTATCCTGTGCACACAATAATTCGCAAGATATTTATTTTCGTGCCCCCAAGTGAGCCGATTAAAAGAGCTGTACCCCGAGTGACGCGACCGAAATAGTACCGAAGTACCCCGAGCGATGCCGCTGGCAAATATCCACCCAGGCATACGCAAAGGCAAAAACAACCTTATTTACTCGTACTTCCCACATTATACCTATGAGACCATTAAAAGGACAAATCAGAGTTTTCCTTCAGCCTTTGTTTTTGTTATCTTGTTGATGTTGATCATACAACTCGGCTCCGATGGGATAATTGATTGACAGATACGGGTTAATTTAAATGTATGGAAAGAAAAAATTCTTTTTGAACGGATGTTTAGGAAAATTTACGTCACCTGTTGGCGCCACGGTGACATGAGGTCGTCATTTCAATTTATTCATAGACTATGACGACATACGCGATTTGACTGATGAGTAGACCCTTTGGCTTAGTGCTACCACCTGGCACTTGTTATTCCAGAAAATCCTCATTGAGACTTACTATAAAATTTTATTTTTAAAAACCTTGTCGTTTGCAATAATATTGGCGCCCTCTATTGAAACGGTGCTCTGTTTCATGGAAAAGTCCCGTCTTTTGTAGCGGTTTATATAATTGTAGAGCATATAGATGTCGCCATAAAACACTGTGGCCCTTGTCTTTATATTCATAGTATATAGGAAATTTCAAATTGCGACGACGAGATAAAGTTGATTTTATATTTCACTCCCGTATTAACTGCACCCAACGCCACTGCCGCATGTACGCAATGTACTATTTCAGCGCCAAACTTTTCCGACACTATTCGTCTGCAATAAACTTCGAAACTCTGCTCATAGATGGACTTTCATAATAATCGTGTTAAAGTTCTCAATAAGCGCAATCTATGAATGATTTTCTTTCTAACTTGCCAGTACCTAAGTCGTACTAAACATCATTAATCTGAGGTACCAAAATTATAGCTGTTTTTCTTACTTCTACCTTTCTGTGTCACCAAAGAGGACGTATAGATGGTGCCACCGATGTCTATGGCTCCTTTTGAGCACCGCAGAATGGAATAAAAGCGAATATTTATAACTAAATAGTGCATAGCATAATGAACTTTATCAATTGAATAACATACAAAATTCATTAGAGCTAAAACCAAATCACCCGTCTTCTGCGGAATCTCGGGAATTCCCCTACCGACTATCGTAACCCGCCTGTGGAATCCACGCGAAGTGGGCAGTCGGCTAGTCCATCGGTCGCGGTAGTGTGGTCTCTAGCCAGACTTACACAGTATGAATCAGAATATGAATTCATATTTTTAACTCAGAGGGCACAAAATTGCATACAATTTCACTACTGTCTACATACAGTCTGAAAAATTCATAATCTAAAACAATAAGAGTATGCGATTCCGTTCTGAATTAAATATGAATACACAATATGAATCCAGTTTCTGTTTCAAACTGTGTAAAGCCAGCCTATAGATCAAATATCAGCATAAGTGACGACCTCCGTCGCCGAGTGTAAATTGTACTTCTGTTTCTACTAACTTACGATTACGCTAAATCTTTTTTTGCATTGCAACACGTGCGGCGCAAATCACAGAAAACAATGCAGATGACGTGTTAAATGCAGAATCACACGAACATCTGCACTCCCGCAACCACGTGCGTGGCTCCGTCGCCACGCACCCGACAGCGTAGTACGGGACAGTGTGGCCATTGCACATGCTCTCCCAGACCTGAGCGACGATGATTTGGTATTAAAATTCGCTAAAGTGAGCATTCGAATTAGTTTCATCTTAGTAAGCTACTTCATCTGTCGTCATCAAATATATCGTCTCTCACAACCTCTTTTATGCGTGTCAATAATCGCCATTCAAGCTCTCATCAGCGTTTATAATTACGCATCCATTACGATTTAAGTAAATTAAATTTCTAACACTAATTTTTGCGCATATAGTACCTAGCTTCGTCGCGTAGTTGTGGGCGAAGCTCGGAAACTGTAGCTTATTTTTTTTTCTACTAACTTACGCTGTCAGGGTCTCCAAAGAGGATGTGTATATGGTGCCACCGACGTCTATGTGGACGGGCGCGTTAAACTTTGTGGTGGGAGCGACGCGGGGAATACCCGCAATCGCAGGTTTCTCCATCGAACTCCCATCCGGTTGGGGACTCCCTGGCTTCGTCACTGGCAGCATTTTGACCACTGAAACACGACAGTTGGAAACTTTAAGTACAACCGATGCCGGTGTTGAACTTATACAACAAATTTTTGACGCCTGGGAGAACTCGCAGGACGCTCTAGGTGTGTTTTGCGACTTGTCCAAGGCTTTTGATTGCGTTTTTCATGAAACATTACTCAGGAAACTCCACCACTATGGATTTAGAGATATTGATCTGGATCTTATTGCGTCATACCTGATGGATAGGATTCAGAGGGTTGACATTAACGGCAATAAGTCTGCGGGTTCGCCGGTTAAAATGGGTGTTCCGCAGGGCTCAATCCTTGGTCCTTTCTTATTTTTAATTTATATTAATGATTTACCTTACTACGTTAGAGATAAGCATGAGATAGTATTGTTCGCGGATGATACATCACTTTTATTTAAACTCAAACGTAAGGAAACAGTTATTGACGACGTGAACAGTTGTATCTCTAAGGTAGTCCACTGGTTTAATGTTAATAATTTATTACAAAATGAAGGAAAAACGAAATGTATTAAATTTGTATTACCTAATGTAAAACAGGTAAAAACCAGTGTGAATGTAAAGGATAGGAATATGGGCCTTGTAGACACCACAGTATTCTTAGGGATTACTTTAGATTCTAAGCTTCAATGGGGCCCACATATTGATAAATTGTCAAATAGACTTAGTTCTGCAGCATATGCCGTAATGAAGATACGCCAGTTAACGGATGTAGACACGGCCAGATTAGTATACTTTAGTTATTTCCATAGTGTAATGTCGTACGGAATTTTATTGTGGGGAAACGCCGCCGACATTCAAACTATTTTTGTGCTGCAGACGAGAGCTATTCGATCAATTTATAATCTTAAAGTTAAGGATTCCTTAAGAGATAGGTTTAAAGAATTTGGTATAATGACGGTCGCATCACAATACATTTACGAAAATTTATTACTTTTAAGAAAAAATATTAATTTGTTTCTTAAAAACAGTGATGTTCACACACTTAATACAAGAAACAAAAATAAACTAACTTTACCTGCTACTAGGCTTCACAAAATCAATAATTCATTTAAAGGTCTTTGTGTTCGCTTATACAATAAAGTCCCAAGAAATATCCAAGAGTTAAGCATAAATAAATTCAAAGATAGTATAAAAAAAGCACTTATTAAAAAAGCTTATTACAAAGTGTCTGATTATATTACAGACAAAAATGCTTGGGTTTGAACTGTTCCAATCATTCCAACAGGTTTTCTATATTAAATAAATCATGATTGTATTGACGTTGTAACAACATAATGATTTGTAAATGTTGTTACATTATGCTTTTAATGTTGTGGAGTTTTTTTCGCTCGTTTTTCTCCGCAGCTAAAAAATATGTCCAATAACGAGTGGTAGGGAAAAAAAATGTTTGGACGATTCAAAAGTGTTGTACTATACATGCAATTTGAATAAAGATATATTGATTTCTGATTTCATACCTCTTTTTACATAAGGTGTAGTTTCCTGCCCGACTATTTAGATCATTAAGAATATTAATATCCTTAAACCTAAATACAGAGTCACCGACAGAGTACAATCGTGAATCTAAACGATCCAAAGACCTATATAAAGTTTCATCAAATTATTTAGCTAAGGAAAAGTTCGTTTATATACTCATGGGCAGAAGATATATCTAAATGAAAACAGTAATTTACTTCTAGGTAAGTATGAGGTTATTTCTTTGAAAATCAGGAAAATTCTGTAAGCCTTATCAGTTATTGTAGCCAACTCTAACGTCAGAACCAAAACCAAAGTGCAATCTGAAAATATGTATTTCACATTTTACTTCTATATCTGCAAAAATGGTTATCAGGATTGAATTCAATGCGGTCAGACAAAATAATAACACATAAATACGATCTACCAAAAAACTCGTACAGCGGAATACAAAGCGCAATGTGTGCTGTGTTTTATTTATTTATTTTCTTTTCGTGAAATTGTCTGGAATTTAGAAAACTGCTTCCATGCTCAGATCAAACAAGTCAAATGGAAAAGCCGTGAACTCGCTTAATTACGTTAGTTGAGGATCGAAACCACACTCAGGGTCTGCAGTCAGTTGCATCGTATCGGTTCTATTAATGAAAAAGTATACTTTTATTTGCGTTTTGCGTTTAACGGACGGATGCTCGTGCCTTTGTGTCTCTTCTCTTTAAAAAAAAAAATATTAAACCGACATCAAAATAGAAAATTTAACTAAAAAGTAAAAAATAATATCTGGTTCATGTTTTGGAAGTCGAGCGGATCAAGATTGAAAGACGTATTATTCAGATTCAGGATCAGAAACGAAAATCCATTCAATATTTCAATCTTGACCCGCCCGACTTCCAAATTATGACCCAGTTATAATTTTTTACTTTTTAGTTCCATTTTCGATTTTGAAGTCGGTTTTTTTTTGTTTATTTTTTTTTATTTCATCCATTTTAGTGAAAATAACGTCGTCCAAGTAAACAATAACACGGAGAAATCGGTGAACATACATAAATATATATATATATATATATATAGTCGAACACTGAACCTCCTCCTTTTTTAAAGTCGGTTAAAAATGACACTGCGAACCTCCCTTTATGTCATATACCTAACCTTCAGATACAAGTGGTAAGCGGAAAATGTTTTTCTAGTATTAATAGATACTTGTAAATACATATTTACGGTCTTACTAAAAATATGGGTAAGGTTTCAAACCTTATTTAGGCATTTTTTTTCCATTTTTTCTAAAGCTCGTGTTGAGCGCATGTTCTAACTTTTTAAACAACTTTTAATAAGGATGGCGTTTTAATTTCCCTTGAGGGCTCAAAAATATGAATCTTTATGATAGAATAATCATTGCCATGCGTCACGACTGTGCAAAGGACAATGTTAAAATTGGCCTAAGAATCAACACCAATTTGGCATTTATGATAATTCTTAGTATTTTTTTTGCGATAATTATCAGTATTTAGATTGTGACGGACACTTCCAGTTAAGTAAGCTAAATTAAAAAGTTAAAAAATAATCTGAGACATTAAATACCATTTTATGTGTATAATCTATGGCAGCGCTGCAAACAAAACACTCTTTCTTCCCAATGCCGGCACTTCACTTGGCTATTCGTATTTGCTATTTTAAAACATGACATCAGTCTGTCCTTTTCGTTCCTTATTAAGCATGACAAGAACAAACTGTTGTCAAGTGAAGGGCCGGCATAAAACTCGTTACTCTGTGGTTGTGGTGCATGCAGTTTGCATTCGTAGTAATCTGTGGCATTCCAAAGAATAGTAATATAATATACCGGAAAGTGCATTCTCGTTTCGGATTACCTGTTGTGTGTGTTTATTTGCGATTGTTTTTCCTTTAATTTAACTATTTCGGCTATCTAATGTGCCATCGATGTTACCTAAGAGCAGAGCCCTTATTACCAAGTGCTAGTGAACCAGTGCCACAACATCCTGAGAGGATCATACTGCCAAATTATTCAAGAACACCTGATACACATTCACGGTGCATATTTACACAATATACATGTGATATACAAATAAATACAATAAACAATATGATACAATTATGTGAAAAATAGTCAATAAATAAGAAGCAAAACTACAATTTTTATTTTATTCATGATTCCTACCGAACCAAGTTTTTCCTAATAGTTATTCTTTAAAATCGCACCGAATAAAATGAATTAGTTGTAATATTAATTCACTTCATACTGAGTTCATACTAAGTTCATAGGTTGACTTATGTTTTATTGAATATCAAACATAACCTCAAAAAAATTTTAGTTTTCCTAATAATTTAAGTTCTCAGAAGTGTCCGTCAATAATCTTTGTTTTTACAGTCATTTACTTACGATTTTGAACCTAGAAAATAATATTTCATGATTGTTGGTTCTTAGGCTAACTATGTATGGACGCTGAACAATGTCCTTTGCCATTGGCTGGGGCCCAATTCTCGTTTCAATCGAATAAATCTCGAAATAGACATTATTGTTTGAGCTGTATCTCGACCAGAAAACTAGATTTTTGCAGCACGGTTTGGAGCCCATGTTATATAAAACATATAGAAAGAGTGCAGAGTAAATTTATTAAATCTCTTTACTTTCGCAACAATGTAAAAGATGAATCATACAGTGAATCTTTGGTCAGATATCTTTCTTTTCAAACTCTTAAACTCACAATTTGATTCGAAAAACCGGTATTAACCTTTATTTACCGGTATTTTCGAAACCGATTTCAAGCCCTGCGTCAAACCACCCCGCCTCCGACCGGCAGCCCGGTTCGCACCCGCTTTAGACGATCCTGGGCTTCTCCATTCACAGCGTCACCTGACTAGTCTCACGGACCGCAGTCCGAGCGGCTAGCCAGCTGACCAGCTCCCGTACCTACCAGGTAAACCAACTCCCCCTCCCCCCGATCTAGCCCTCACCCTCCAGGCGTAACTGCGGGGTCCAGTTATGAGTCGCCGTTATCATCTGACAACCCTAACTGTAACTCTTGCACCGCGTGTAATGGGAACTTCAACGAATTGTATAAACTATTTCTTGATAAAGCTAGTGAGCGTTCGGGAGACCTTGAACTCTGCAGAAACTATCTTCCCACTACATCCGATGCTTACAACCATACAACAAAGTATACAATATTCATTTTATTCTGACAGAACTTAGTACTCTCAATTATCAATTGTGAATGTCTCCCGTTGCGAATCTTTAAGTATGTTTGCAGTGATCTCAAATTAGACTGAATGTATTTTCATTTGGTTTTCATCATTAGTTAAATAATATAACGGTCGGCAGGCTTTGTCGTATATCTGGTTGTCGTATGATTACTAATAATATAAAATGAAGGTATTATAAAATGAATTTATTCAGCTACCTAAATATACCCATGTGTCATATCTATTGACTACCAGGATATTTTTTACGGTGTCATATCTTTTGACTCCCAGGATATTTATTTTCGGTGTCATAATAAAAAAGGCTAGTTTTTCATAGATCTATCG